TTGCCCAGAAACCTGCACGAGGCCCCCCTGATTTGCAATCTGTTCTGGCTCACGGCTTACTCTGTCGTGCTTGCATGTTTCAAAAAGACAACTTGCAACATGAGCCTGGCTTGAGAGCGAAGATCCGGATGTTAGCTGCAAAGAGAAGGCACCATCACGGCACTTAGGGATGCCGTGGATGTGCGAAGTCTTGGCGTTGCCGTGACCGCGCGTTTTGGCCTTCAAAACGATCAGACGAGGCGATTCGACCACTGGAGTGAATTCCAGTGCTGTCCTGGAACAGAAACGCGGCAACCGTCGTTGATTCAATCCCGTCGGGGTTGCCCTGGAGCCACCAGGGGTCGCGGCCTTCGGAACACCCAGCCACCCCAGGCATGAAATCCCCCTGCAAAGTTGCGGCCCGCGAGTCCGGACCCCGACAGAGCCGTCTTTGGCCGAACCTTATCGGCAGTCACGCATTTGGGCGACAGTGCCGACGAATTGCGAGTGACCACATCCGTCTGCGATCAGGCGTCGTCCGAGATTCCCATCGTTTCGGCTGTTCCAGTGACCATCGCTGGGCGGGTTCGCTCCGTCGACGTCCGAGGTCTGGACAGGACCGATCCCCGGGCGGCTGGCGGCGCGTGGTTCGGAGGATGGGCGCCAGGGCAATCACGCGTGAAGCCCGTGGCCAAGTATGCTCAAGGTTTCTAGGCAGCGGTTGTGCGTGCCCACTTTTTTCTGCTCGACCTCGCCGCCTGTCCCGAAAACAGGCACATGACAAAAGCACTTGCAACAGTAGCTCAAGGCATGTTCCGTCGCCCGAAACGGGTCCCGGGGAGCCATGTCGTGACGGTGTCCGCATCGAGTATGGATTGAAGCATTGTCTGGGCTGGCCAGCAGGATCTTCGGCCAGATGCAGCTTGACCTCGCGTAGTCCCCCCCTCCAGTTCCTCAAGTAACTGCCCAGCTCGCGTCGCGGAGTCTGGTTGCGCCTGCCCCGAGGTCATGGAGGTTGGCGAGGAGATCGAGGCGGCACGGACGCAGGCCGAGATAGACGGCCTGACGGAGCAGACGGCCAGGAAGATTGGCGAGTCGGAGGCCCTGCTTGCGGACGCAATATCGGAGGAGAAGTGGGACGTGGCCCGCGTGGGGATCGAGCGGTTGCAGATGATGAGCCGCCTGCTGCAGCGCTGCAACGACTGGAGGCCTCCGTGAGGCCAGCGCCCCGCTCCCGGTCTGTGCGGCCTCGGCGCAAAATGCGCCCCGCTTTCTGCTCTCCTCGCTGCTTTTTTCGTCTCCTGTGACCGTCCTGCCTTGTTCGCTCCAGGCCGTGCGAGGCACGAGTTTGGCCCATCTGGGGGGGGGTGATGGGGGCGTGCAGGGGGCTCAGGATGTAGCTCCTGCGAGTTTGACTTACGGTCAGCCCGAGGTATAAGACCGAGGTGGGTTCGGGGAGGGTGCCCTCATGTTTTGCGTGTTCGTTAGATGTTGTTTTGCGTCCTGGGGGAGGGTGCCCTCGAGTGATCTTATGGCTTGGGATGTGTTGGCCGGCGGAGGTTCTTATGTTCTTTGAGGATGTTCTCATGTCCTAGGTCCGACCGTAGTCCTCGGCCTTGGTATCGCCTGGATGTCGATCCAGCTGCATCTCGTTGATCATGTTGGAGTATGGTTGAATTCCGAATCTATGAATAGCTTCGTTGTCTGACCGCACCCACGTATGCTCACAGGAGTCGCTACCTGAGGGATACCACGCAGGCTTCTTCGGCCTCAGTTTGCACAGCCATCCGCCTTAGCCTGATCATCGCGCTCTCGGACGCCCAGCCGTGTTGGCTCAGGATCGCTCGCGTGGGAGCGTTCCCGTCGCCGTCCATGGCAGCTGAGGCATGGGAATGCTGGGATGACGAGAAATCGGAGGAGGGACGAGGAACAATCGAGGTCAGAAGAGTGAGGATGACATGGTAGTCTTCGTGAGATGAAATAGTGGACGCTGGGGGGGAGGGGGGAGGGGCTCGAACCCGAGAACGGGCACCCACCTCCCCTGAAATGCAGGGGGGGGGCGGGGCTCGAACCAGAAGGGGGCCCCCCCAAGGGGGGAGGGTCGAACCGGGAGGGCCCCCCCCGAGGGTTGCAGCTTCGGAGTGGGTTCGAAGCGGGGGGGGGGCCGGGCCCTCCTCTATCCGAGGGTGGGGTATTCGAACCCGGGGGGGGGGCCCTCCCCCTTCTGTTTTGGCGGAGGAGAAAGACGAGGAGGAGGAGGAGGAGGAGGAGGAGGAGGAGGAGGAGGAGGAGGTCTCGTCTCGTCTCGAACCCATTCAAGCAACGATCCATGCCTGGTCATATGTGCTCTGGGTTGGGGCGGTGGCCATTGCCTCGCCCCTCTCTCGCTCCACATCGTTCTGGAGCCTGCCGTGCCGATGAAACGGAGGCACGGGCGGATGCGCCCCTGTTGGCGCCCGCACGGGGGGCGCACGTGTGAGGCGCCCATCAAGTGGGAGTGATCTGGAGGACTGTTGCTCGCAGCACCAAGCAGCGCTAATATATATCCTAAGGTGAGTGCATTTCGCGGGCGACGTCCTCTTCGGCTTCGAAGGGGTCGGCCTCGTGAGGGTTAAAACTGAGGCCGGACACCCGCCTCAGTTTTAACCCTGAATCGGCGCCAGGGTCGGGAGCGTTCTGACTCGCCGAGTGCGAGGCGGGTCCAAACAGGCGGCGAGGAGGAGGGGGAGGAGGTCCAGGGTCCCTGGCAGGAGCGGAGACGCTCTCAAGGCCTTGCGGCGGGCGTACACTATGATACGTGACTGCTGCAGCGCGTGTCCTACCTACTTCTGGCGGCCCTTGCCCTTGCCGCCGCCGAGCTTCCTGGCCATGTTGCCGCGCGGCGCCTTGTTGACTAGGTGGCGGCCGCCCGCCGCGCGCATCTGCTCGGCGAGCAGCAGGTTGATGTCCATCAGGTAGCCTGGCATGTTGAGGATCGTCGTGGGCATCTCCGTGGGGCTCACCTGCTTGATCGTGTCGTCTCCGCCCTCGATGGCCGCCATGAGCTCCTCGTGGTCTGCCACCTGCGTGGTCATGAGGATCTGGCCTTTGAGGTTGAAAGTAAGGCGTGACTTCTGCGTCTTGCCAGGCTGGTCGAATGTGGGGCTCGCGACCATCTCGGTGATCCACGCCTGTGCAATGGTCGGGCCGCCGTGCTCGATCATCTTCATCAGGCGGGCGATGCACATCCCGCATGCGGCCCGCCGCTGTGAGGTGTCCTTGTAGTTGTAGCTGTGCAAAGCGTCTAGAACTGCGAAAGCACTCTGGCACGCTGGCGTGCCACGATCCTCCTCCGGGTGGTTCTTCTTGTCTGTGAGGAACCGCTGGAACGCCGCGTTGCTCTCCACGATGCACGGGTGGTTGCGATCCAGCAGCACGCTGACGAACCCCATGTGCTCGACCGCGCGCATCCTGGCCTCGAGCTGGTACACCAGGCTGCGAAGTGGGCCTGGCTCGTGCTCGTCCTCGTCCTCGTCCCCCGCGTCCATCTGGCGGCGCTGCTTGTGCTTGTCCGCTCTGTCCTGAGCTGCGCTGACTCTGTCCTTCCTGAGGAGCCACGACGCGGGCTGGTGGGCGACTTGCACCGCAGACGATGCGGCGCCTCCCGTCGACATCGCCCCTGCTGAGTCTCGTACCCCTCCACTCAGGGTTGCTGTGTGCGGTGCCGAGCGCCTCGCGAATCTGAAACGAGGGGAGGAGATGCTGCCGAATGTGCGCCTCAGCGTGCTCGAGAAAGACGGCGATGGAGGGCTGCTCCTCGAAGCAAACTGGGCACTCGAGGCTTTTGGGCTCTATGATGGTGGCCTCGTACCGTCCTCGATTCATAGGGCAATAGTTGCGCCTCATACTCGCAGCAACGTGATGGACGGCACTGGCACGATCTCTGAACACGCTCTTGCAGATCGGGCAGGCGTTCGTGATCGTGAGAACCCTTCCTATGTGGAGTTTCCCATGAGAGCCCCCTTTTGAGTTGGCCATGTGCGCCAGCAGCTGTTTTCGGCTAGGCCAACACGTCCGACATACCGTGCCATCGTCCCACACCTCCTGGCATACGTACTCCCCCTCCGTCCTGTTCACCTCCTTCCTGATCCTCTCCTCCTCATCTGTGATGTAGAAGATCGATCTAAGCTGGGTGACATCTATCTTGACGAAGTCCGTGGGGTCCTCGAATAGTATACTAAAGATGGTCTGGTTATCTAGCATCGTCTGCCCTTCCTCGAGTTCCCGTAGTGATAGTATGTCTTGCTGGGCCTGCTGGGCCCAAGGGTTAGCTTTGTCGGAGACCATGCCATCGCTAAAGACCTCCCCGTCACATACCATACTTCCAAACACCGCGCTAAGAAACTGCACGTGCTCATCTTTGTTGGCAACCAATACTTGCATCCATTTAAGTCTTCTTATTCGTAATTCAAGGTAAAGACTGCCCATTCGAAATTTCTTAAGGATCTGCGTGTTAGTATCTACGATAACGTGCGTGTCGCTCTCGTTCATGCGCGCTGTGCCTTGTAGTATGGCCCTACACTTAACCAAAATGTATGATTGGTGATGCTGGAGGTCCCGCTCTTGCAGAGGCCCCCGTCCATGTACACACACCTCGAGGCCAGACAGGGCAGCGTTTACCAACAAGCCTTTCACTACGTTTCTCTTTACGCCGAAGGGCGCGTCACTGTACCAGAATCCCCCCATACTGTGGAAGCTGGACTTGATGGCAGATAACCGCTTCTGCAACTCTGGCAACGGTGAAAATGTGGACGCTTGAAGCCCACCTAAGTAGCGCACGTGATGTACAACTCTCCCATCAAGTGCCGTTTCTTGCCTTGCTAGTGCCCTCGTAGCCGTGTAAGATCCCCACCCTGCAAAATAGCACACATTCTCCTCCTTCTCTAGATTCTGACTCGCTCCGATCTCCGCGAGCCCACGGTCGACAGCTTCGTTCTCGAGGGCCCCCCCGCGCTCAATCTGCTCCTGCATCGTCCCCTCTCCCGCCTCCAACACCTTGCTGCCTATGTCGTCGACGAACCCTGTGAGTCCTATCTGAGTCTTCTCGCTGTGATTCCAAGGAAGACCCGCTTCTAAGACGATGTGCCACTGGTGAGCGATGGCAGCGTCGGCGTACTTCGCAAAGGGGGGGAGGTACGTCCTGTTGAACAATCGGGTGGCACCGGTGTCCCCTGGGAAGACGCCCCGTCGAGCTTTCATCCAGAAACTTCCCGTCTCATCAGAGATGTGCACCAAGTTTTTTCGCACCCGATCTTCTATGAACTGGAGGTCCTGGGGGTCATAACAACTCTCCGCGGCCTCTAGAACCTTGTCCTGATGGAGGCTGTAGAAAGCGTTGACAGCGTCGTGACACCTGAGAAGGTGAGACACTCCTCCAGCTTGCAGGCGATACGACGACACGAGCTGAACCCCCATGGCCGCCTCCCTCCTCCTCCCATGTATCCCTCCATACAGCCATTCGGGTGCAATCCATGGGGGCTTCTTACGTTTGAGCATGGCCGCGTTGTAGGTCCGACCCAGGGTGCACATCATCATGATCAGCCTCTCCCCGTCACACTCCAGTTTCCGATTGTGTTTGGGGATACGGGCAGCCTGGGCACAGTGCCAGTGGACGGGATACCGCTGAACTCGCCTGCACGTGCCCAGTATTGCCTGCAGCATACCACGCGTGCGGACTATCCTGGGCAGCTCCTGATGAAATCCAACACCCACTGCAGCCTGCGGTCGTCTCTCATTCACTTTGCGGGGGTGGAACACTATTCGCAAGCACTCGGGAGGTGTGCTCCACGACGGCCAAGCCCTCCAAAACTTTAGTTTCCAGACTGCAACCGCCATCTCCCTCCAATCCTCCGCAGCACGATACACGGCCTCGCTGTCCTCCACCCTCTCCCGCACCTCCTCCTGCATGTCCCTCCTCGTCTCCTCTATGGTGTAAGGGATCGCACTGCAGCCTCCATGTTCGGGCTCAAGCTTCAACCTCTGCGCCCACGCCTTTGCTGACGCTGTGGATCCAGGGACGACGGCGAACTTCCTTTGTCGGGGCCCCCTTCTCTTTCCAGCGATAAGCCGAGCTAATTTCTGGACCATGTACCCGTTCTGCTCTTTGAGGGCTTGCTTCATCTCGGCACATCTTCGAGCACGGATAGCATCCCAGTATTCTTTGGCAGTGTGCCGTAAGTGCTTGCTGATGTGCCTGATGCGCTCGCTCGTGCTCTCGGTGTTGTGCTCATCGTGCTCCTCTTTGTACCTCCTCCTCTGTGCCAGTAGTGTTCGAAGCTCTCTGGTGTGTTCCTTACGATCTTCTGTGTACAGCGGGCTGTCGCGCAGGACGTCGGAGACAGCGGTGTTCAGGGTGGTAATAAACAACGTGTTCATCTCATCAATGTCCTCCCTGGCCTTGGCTGCATCAAACTCATCGGCATTTACTTCCGCCAGCTCTTCCATCCGAGAGAGGACCTCCCGTCTCTTGTACCCTACCTGCAGGCATTGATAAAGAGCTTCACGGTTCGCACGAGGAGCACGCTGCTGTTCTCTACCAGGGAGGGCGGGCCACTGCAGGACGAAGCTCGCGCATACAGGTCTGTGGTCCCTATCCTCGTGCCCGCGATGCAGCTGGAGTCGACGAGCAGACCTCCTCATTACCATCACCCGCTCCGTGGCCTGAAGGAGGTCTCGTGTTGTGAGGATGTGGTCAATGTGCGACTGCCCGTTGCTGCCTACGAACGTGGGGGGGAGGTCCCAGTGAGTGCCGATGCTGCACATGCCCCATCCCTCAAGGAGAGGTCGGAGTGCAGCGCTGCTTGGGGTTAAGTGTCCTTTGCCGTGCACGCCCGAGACGTGGTCGTCACCCGTGTACGGCAGTGCCCCATTCAGATCGGTCATGATGATGGGTACTGCCTTCCTTGTCATGAGGAACGACATTACATTGCTCAACCATTCGTTCATCACCTGGATCGTCTTAAGGTAGGCTGGCTTGGCTTGGTTGGTGGTCTGTTTGGGCGGGTAGTACATAACCACAAACCCATACCTTACTCCTCCCCGGTCGCACAACACCCCGTGGACGCGCCCCCATATCTGTTTGGGCGCTGTGAACACGTGCTTCACGCAGTGCAGGGGAAAACGTTCTCGTCTCAACATCAGCGCGACCCCACAACTCGTGCTCACTAGCTTGCCCTTGAGGTATCCTGCCTCCACGACTGTATACTCCCCCACCTCCTTCTTCTCCTCCCACTGCTCGCCTCCGCTCTTCTTCTGCGTGCCGATAAGCCCCACGACATCCCGCCTGCCTAACTCCTCTGCAATGTCAAGAAGGCGAGACGACGAGATGGCCGCGCACGGGTTGTATGCGACAACCCGAAGGAGACCTGCGGCGGCGAGCGGCATGGGCGGCTCACAGCCCGCCGCCAGGCCCCATCCTCTGGAGAGAGGGGAGGGCCCCGCGCTGGCTTTCGGGGTGAGGGCTCCTCTCGGTGGCTGGAGGAGATGAAATCCGAAAAGCTCGTGCCACCTGGAGGAGGAGGTCGAGGAGGAAGAGGGGGAGGAGGAGGTCGAGGAGGAGGTCGAGGAGGAGGTCGAGGGAGGAGGAGGAGGAGGAGGTGGAGGAGGTGGAGGAGGTCGAGGGGGGGCGACCCGCCCCCCTCGATCCCCCCCCCCCTGCAACCGACGACGGCGAGCGCTGGCGCTGATGCCGGCGCCGCCGGGCAGCGAAGACGACGGCGACGACGACCGTGACGATGACGAAAACGACGACGTCGACGACGACGACGCCGACGACGACGGCCACGGCGTCGACGGCGACGGCGACGGCGACGGCATCGGCGGCGGCGGCGTCGACGGCGGCGACGGCGACGGCGATGGCGACGACGACGACGCGCACAGGGCCCTCTCCTTTGAGTTGCAGGGGGGCGCCCCCCTGCAACCGACGACGGCGAGCGCCGGCGCCGGCGCTGGCGCCGTCAGGCAGCGACGACGACGACGACGACGACGGCGACGACAACGACGACGGCGACAGCGACGGCGACGGCGACGGCGACGGCGAAGGCAACGGCGACGGACACGGCGGCGGACACGGCGACGGCGACTGGCGACGACAACGACGACGACGGCGACGACGACGACGACGATAACGACGACGCCGACGACGACGACCACGGCGACGGCGACGGCGACAGCGACGGCGAAGGCCACGGCCACGGCCACGGCGAGGTCGTCGACGTCGACAGCGACGGCGACGGCGACGGCGTCGACGGCGACAGCGATGGCAACCGGCGACGACGACGACGACGACGACGACGACGACGACGACGCTACGACGCGCACTGGAGGGGGCGGGGAGGGGGGCCTTGTTTGAACACCCGCCCCTTGAAATTCCAGGGGGGGGCGCAGGGGGGGAAGGGGGCCCCCACCGGTTCGACCCCCCCCTTGGACCATGGGGGGGGGCCCCCCTGACGTGAGCCCTTTCACACTTTGCAACTCAGGGGGGTGGGGCCCCTACTGGTTCGTCCCCACTCCCTTCTTGGACAGCGGAGGAGGAGGCGGAGGAGGAGGGGGAGGAGGAGGAGGAGGAGGAGGAGGAGGAGGAGGAGGAGGAGGAGGAGGAGGAGGAGGAGGAGGAGGAGGAGGAGGAGGAGGAGGAGGAGGAGGAGGAGGAGGAGGGGAGGAGAAGGAGGAGTGAGCAGGAGCTTTAGCGAAGAGGGAGCAGAAGGAGCAAGATAGCGGCGAGGGAGGGGGAGGGGGAGAGGAGGAGGAGGTGGTGGGGGAGGAGCAGGAGGAGGGGGAGGTAGAGGAGGAAAAGGAAGAGGAGGAGGTGGAGGAAAAACTGGACGAGGAGGAGGAGAGGGGGGCGGAGGACGGAGCATCCGAAGCAGGAGCACGAGATGGGGACGGCGGAGGAGAAACAAAGCAGCGGCCCAGGCCGACGTCGCTGCCAGCAGGCTTTCCCGCGGCCTGCGACGACTGGCGCAGAACACGGCAGGCCTGTGGGCGCCGCCGGCGGTGCCGAGGAGGCTTCGCTTTCGGCCGACACGACGACGGCGACGGCGACGAGGACGACGACGACGACCACCACCACCACCACTAGCAACAGGACCACGACGACGAAGACGATGACGACGACAACGACGACGACGACGACGACGGCTACGAGGGTGACGACAACGACGGCGGCGGCGGCGACGAGGAGAAGATGGAGAAGATGGAGGAGAAGGAGCAGGATGACGACGATGTCGGCGGCGGCGGTGACGACGACGACGACGACGACGAGGACGAGGACGAGGACGAGGATGATGACGAGAACGAAGACGAGGACGGCGACCAGGACGAGGACCCATATCCCCTCGCTCTCCGTAAAAGGCACGACGGACGGTTTTCGAGGCTCGAGGTTTTCGGTCGAGGAGCAAACACTGACGTGAACATACACGTCCGGCGGGATTCATCTGGGCTCGTGTGCCGCCCCAGTCTGCTAGTTGTCGCGCCGTTGCCGCCTCTTCGCCGCCCTGTCGCCGCCTCGCCCCGCCGCCCCGTCGCCGCTCGTCCCCGCCCGCCGCCGCCACCATCATGTCGAGGCCCACCGGCGCTGCCCCAGGCACGCTCCGCGCGCCAGTCGGGGCCCCCCCAACGGGGTGGTGACCACACCGTGTGGTGAGTCGGCGGGGATTCGGGGTCACCGCACAAACCGTGCGGTGACGCACCGTGCGGTGAGGTCTTGGGGCATTTCGAGGTCACCGCACGGTCCGTCATCGCACCGTTTCGGGACTCCTCCAAGTCCGCGCGCCAGGGAGGGGGGTCTCCAGCGCCGATCCCAGACACCCGCGCGGACCTCCGATCGTTGATGTCTATCAGGAGGGAAAGAAACACGCAGACACAATGAATCGTCGATTCCCCAGAAAATATGGGAAAGTATGGGAAGTGGGAGGGGGGGGGGGAGACAAAGACCCAGAAGATATGACAAAATGTGGGGAATCTGTTTCTTTGTATCTATTCATGCCTGTGTCCTGGGGCCCCGTTAGTTGATGCAGTCGCTTGCTCCTCTGCGCGGCCTTTTTCTCGCGGGCCTCCCGCGGCCCTGGCCGCTTCCGGGGGCGCGGTCCGGCGGCGGCGCCTCGCCGAGCGCGGCCCCGTGGGGCGCCCGAAGCGTCCCGAGCGGCCGCCAGATCTCGGCATCGCTCGGACGTGTGCACTTTTCCTTTCGTCGCGGACCATCGAGGAGCATCCTCGATCATGTGGCGAAAAAGCCACGCGCGAAACCGACACAAAAAACACAGGGAATTGAGACGTCCGAGCGATGGCAGGCAGGTGGTCTCGTCGCAGGAGGGAAAATATGCAGCCGGGGCGCCGGAGAAGGAAGCCTTTTGCGTTGGGGAGGGGCTAAGGTGTTCCTCGATTGTCGTACAGTTTGCCTGGGGCTTTCCATTCGCTTTCCATGGGGAATCAAAACTTGAGTTATGGGAGCAAGGGGCCTCGTTCCTTCTTTGGGGTTCCTGAGGTCCACGCCCCGGCTGCAACACAGACGCAACGAGTCGTCGATGCCCAGGGCAATCTGGGGCACAAGTGGGAACTGGGGGGGCGCAGGCGAAGCCCAAGAACGTGTGGGAATATGGAGGGGAATCCTGGGGGTTGTGCCTGTCTCTTTGTGTTATATCGGGCGTGTCCCCCTAAAGGGGGATGTTCGACGACAAATAGAAAGTACACCGAAAATGCCCCAAAAAGGTACAAGAAATGCTCCAAAAATAGCCCCCAGACTATGTTTGGACTATTTTCGGATCGTGTTTCTGGGGTCTGTTTTATTTTTCGTCGAACATCCCCCTGGAGGGGACAGGCCCGACTTCATCTCTGTGTGTCCCTGGGCCCCATTCGTCTTCTTCCTCGCCTCACTTCGTTCCCCGCCCACCCAAACACCCCAGCCCAACCCTCCAAGCCCCAACCTGCCCTCCATTCCCCGTGGGGTGGCGGGCGGCGTCGGGGAACATCAACAGACACAATGTGGAGCCCGTACACCCCCCGCCTCCAGCCCGAAATTCGGGTCTTCGTGTTCTGTGCGTTTTTTTTTCCCGCGCCCTGTCTCCCCAATTCGTGCTTTGCGTAGCCCGCCTAGCTTTTAACCCGAAGAGGTTCGCTCTCGACCCGCAGACCAAACAAGTGTTCTGTGCGTTTTTACTGGCGGAGGGTTTCATGTTCTTGAGGGATGTTCTTCTGGCCTAGATTTACGTCGGGCATGTCTCTCTGCAGGGGGAGCAATCAAAATAATAAAGAAGAGCACGGGGACGATGTTTTTGCAACTATTTTTAATTATGCTGTGGCTCTGTTTATTTCTTCGTCGGGCATCTGCCTGCAGGAGGACATGCCCGACCTAATATTAGATCCGACTGTTTTCGCAGCGTGCCCACCCACAAACGTCTGGCAGCAAAAGCACACGTGCCTGCTTCACTGTAGTGGATCGTAGATCCCGCGGCGCGGCGGGGCCAGGCCAGTTGCGGGTCGTGACTTCTCTTGCCTGGCCGCTGTTCAGCACGAGTGTTAAGTCGGGCACGTCCCTCTATAGGAGGAGTACTCAAAAATAGTTTAAAAATAGTCAGCCGACTATCTTTAATTATTTTCGCAATGTTTTGCAATGTTTTGACCATTGTTATGTTTCGTCCAAAATCCGCCTGTAGGGGGGACACGCCCGACCTAATACGAGTGGAAGGGATCCTGAGGGAACTCGGGGGCAACGATGGGGGGGGATAGGCATAGGGGGAACGCATCGACCCTCGATCGTTAGGAGCCCGATGGCCTTGAGTCGGGCATGTCCCTCTACAGGAAGAATATTCGAAAATAGTAAAACATAGTCTGGCGAAGGTTTTTCCAATGTTTTCATAAATTGTTGATTATTTTTTGAAGATTTCGTATTTTGCGTCCGAAATCCGCCTGTAGGGGGACACGCCCGACCTGACACGAGTGGAAGGGAACCTGAGGGAACTCGGGGGCAACGATGGGGGTGGGGTAGGCACAGGGGGGAACGCATCGACACCCGATCGCCCATAGGAGCCCGATGGTCCCAACCCGCTCAGGGAGGTACGGCTTCGCTTCGCGCGGCCTATCGCGGATCTATCGAGGATGTATCGCCGATTGTCCAGGTCGATACATCCCCCCCTGTGCCAGGTCCCCGCCCATCATTGTCCCTCGTGGAACGAGCCATGCTCTTCACCGCCGGTCCCCAGGGCCGCGAAGAGGCGATGCAGGATGGAGAACTGGTCTGCAGGGGAGGTCGCGAGCGGCGAACGTGTCCGTATCCGCGTCCTCGCGGTCTGGCGCGATCCCGCGGATACGTGCGGCAAAGAGAAGTTCAGCGCGCGGCATCCGCGACGGAAGCGCCCCGTGTCCGCGGGGGCGCGGCCCAGGGGGCCGGCCTGCGGGGCCGCGGACGCGAAGCTGCTCTCTCGCGCGCGAGGAGTGGCCCGGGGTCCAGGGCTCGTGTCCGCCAGGGCCCGTGCTGCCTTTGTCGAAGGCTTGCTCTCCTCGTCCTCGCTCCTCGTTCGCGCCCTCGTCGCTGCTCGTTCCTTCGTCCTCGTCGCCGGACGGCCGCCGGGTTCCGCGGAGGCCTCGACCTCGAGGCGGGGGGCAGGGGATCGAGGCTCGAGGATCTCGGTTCCCAGATCGCCGACGATGTGATTTCCTCGCTGGCTCCGGCTCTGGGAAGGTTTGGGCTGAGCTTGCATGGCTGACGGGGAAGGGGAGGGAACCCGCGCGCGCCGTCGCCCAGGAGCAACCGGGGCAGAGAGTTCGGAGGGAGGAGCAGCGACACCAACCAACAGGGGGGCCACCTCCAGCGAGGAGGTCAACGATATACCTCCCCGAGCGGGGGGCTGGGGATGTCTCGAGCGAGAGGGGGGGGACCACGCTACCAGGGAGACCCCCCTTGCTCCTTGCATCTCCTCACCCTGGTGGTGTTGGTGGTCTCCTTTCGTCCTGCCTGGAGAGTGGCTCCCGCGCCCCGTGTCCTGGCGCGATGCGCGCGCGCGCCCGCGAAGGCACGCTTGTCTCGCGTCGGGGGGGCCCCTGACCCCGTCGGTGCCCTGCCCGGCTTTGACACGTCGGCTCCCGAAGGCAGGCTGCGGCTCCGAGCGGCGCGCCCGCAGGCGAGAGATTGCCCCCCCCCGTGGGAGCGGTCGGGACCCGGGCCCGCGTGGGCCGCGTGTTGACAAGGCTCGTATCCTATCGGCGGATTCCAGGGCCCCAGAGGAGGAACAGGCACTGATACCGCTGCCCAGGCACCGATGCCGCTGCCCTCTGCCCGTTTCCCCCCTCTTCGGCCTCCCGGAAGCCCCTCGTCGCCGCCGCCGGGTGCGCCTCGACGTCCGGGTCAGATGGCACCACGGGAGAGGTCTGGGGAGTGGCGGTACACCTTAGGCGATGCTTAAGAAAACTTGCATTTTCGGCCAGAGTCTTGATTAATCTTAATGTTTCAATGTAAATCCTAAGATTTGAATGGAAATGTTGGGTTTTTACTAAAGTTCTGAGACTATGAATTTCTTAACCCATGATTTCTTAAGCATCTCGCAGGGTGTACTGGTACCTTTCGGCCTCCCCAGATCAGGAGGGGAAAAACCACACAGACACAATTCATCGTCGATCTAGGAAAATATAGGAAAATATGGGAAGTGGGGGGGAGGTAGAAATCCAGAAAATATTGGGAAATATGGGGAATCCTGTTATTTGTGTGTATTTACTTGTGTGTCCCAGGGTCCCTTCACCAGAGTGGACGGGTGGCGCTTCTCGGCCCCCATGCTGGGCCCGCGCCAGAGGCCACTCCTCACCAGCCTCGAACTCATCCCTGGCCCTGTCCCTGAGATGGACACGCCAAGAGGCGATGACAATCTCAGGGATGCACCCCCAGGAACTGGGGGGGAATCCCCCAAATCGACATCGTGATGAGGCGATGCCCACCACAGGGATCGGGATCTGTTCCAGGCTGGTAAGCTCCCGCGAAGGGTCACTCCTCGCGCGTCGCCGCAGGTAGGGGGGTCGGCTCGCAGTGGGTCCCGAGCCCTGGCCGGCCCGGGGAGGATGCAGGGGGCCTCCTCCTCCTCCTCCTTCTTCTCCCCCTCCTTCTCCCCCTCCTCCTCCTCCTCCTCGGCCTGCTGATCCCCTCCCAGCCCGAGTCCGTCCCGGGGGGGCCACCTTCCGCTCGTCCTGCGGCCTCCGCGGGGGGGCCCTCTCGTCGCCACGCCTGGCAGCCATCCCCTCGAGATGCTGGCCAGGACCGCTCCAGAGGTCTGGGGAGCGATGCGGGGAGGGAGGAGTAGGGTTGTGGAGGATGGAGATGGGGGATCTGGTTGACCCAAAGGGGGTCCAGCTACAAGGGGGTGGTGCAATAGACCTGGTGCAATAGCTGTGTGGATTGCAACAGATTTGGGGCGTGCAGTACATGCCGGGGCGCAGATGTATTGCTGGACTCTCGTGCAACGCATAGTTGCAATATAATGTAATACAATTCTGCGGCGCAATGCATTTGCAACATAATTGCCCCAAATCCATTTCAACACCCCTTTTCAGCTGGACCCCATGTTGGGTCAACCAAAGACGAGGAGTAGGAGGAGGAGGAGGCGGTGGAGGAGGAGGCGTTGTAGCTGCGCTCGGCGGCGGTCGCGGTTGGCTACGGGTTCCTTCCGTTGCCTTGCATCTTGCGCGCGCCGCTCTTCATTATCATGTGTGTGTGCGTCGTGACTGACTTGGCAGTTGCAGGAGAAAGAGGAGGCTGGAAGAGTACGGGAGATGAGGAGGATGAACGAGGGCGGAGGGTAGAGCGGGGAAGTGGAGGGACGACGGTGGAGAGGATGGCAGGAGGAGGCTGGAGGAGTATGGAGAATGATGGAGCAGGATGATGATGATGATGATGATGATGATGATGATGATGATGATGATGATGATGATGATGATGATGATGATGATGATGATGATGATGATGATGATGATGATGATGATGATGATGATGATGATGATGATGATGATGATGATGATGATGATGATGATGATGATGATGATGATGATGATGATGATGATGATGAATGATGATGATGATGATGATGATGATGATGATGATGATGATGATGATGATGATGATGATGATGATGATGATGATGATGATGATGATGATGATGATGGTGATGGTGATGGTGATGGTGATGGTGATGATGATGATGAATGATCCGGGAGGGGTGATCAGAATGGAGAGGGCCCAAGGAGGAAACATGTGTTGAGCGGAGAGGAAGGAGGAGGAGGAGGAGGAGGAGGAGGAGGAGGAGGAGGAGGAGGAGGAGGAGGAGGAGGAGGAGGAGGAGCAGGAGTCGGAAGATGAGTAGGAGGATGGATGATAATGGAGGAAGAAAATGAGGAGGACGCCTCTGTGTCCCGCCGGCTGTCCCGAGGAGGCTCGACCTCGCTGGGCCTCCTCGTCCTCCTCCTTCTCTGACTCGTCCTAGCCCCGCCCGTTCTCGTCTCCTCGTCCTCGTCCTCTTTCCTCCTCGCGCTTTGGGCGGGGACTGGACGAGCTGGCCGCGAGGAGGCTTCGAACTCCCCTGGCAACCCCCAGGCCGTCGTGCGCTCACCTGCGGCGCGGGAGGGTGGAAGGTGGGCCTTCGGGCTCTTGGGCTGTAGCCCCGCGGGGCTACGGCACAGCGCTGGTGGCGAGGGGGTGAACTGCGATCCCTGCATCTTTCGTCCTGTTCCTCCGTTTCCGCGTGCTCCCGCTCCTCCCCTCCCCCATCAGTTCCATCGCCTTCTCATCGCCTCCTCCTCCGCAATTGCCGTTTTATGCCTAAGCTTTTTCCTTTTTCTCTTCAGCGTTGTCGTCGCAGTCGCCCTCCTCCTCCCTCCTCCTCCTCCTCCTCCTCCTCCTCCTCCTCCTCCTCCTAGGCCTCCGCCCCCCCAGTGAGTGGCACCCCGCGAGACTCAGAGGACGTCTACACCTATCAGTGGTTCAACGCCTTCAGCAAAGAATGCGTCCCTGATCATCTTCCCCATATTATTTTTTCACAACGTCAATGTCAGGAGGTCTCGACCCTCTCACCGGGAGTGTGTGTTTCGCCCCGCGGGACGAGACACACACTCCCAGGGATTAGGCTCGCGAGCCGTCTTTTCGGCGCCCTGGGGCCTCGCGATGCCCCCGGATGCCAGAAACGGCCAAAACCCGTCCGCCGTGTTTTTGCTCACGGCGTGAGGGGGTCGGGGTCCCCGTCCTGTCCCATCCCCTTCTGGGCTGCCCGGCCAAGAGGCCCATCGGCAGCATTAGCCCAGTGGCGTTCGTGCGCGAGCACGTGGCCGCGTCGCAGCCGGTGGTCCTGACGGACCTGCCGCCGGGGGAGTGGCCGTGCCTGCGGCGGTGGTCCGACGAGTACCTGCTGGAGCCGAGAGGGAAGTTTGAAAGTATGCCTTGGTCCTGGCTCTTTCCCTACACGCCGGGCGTGTTCGCCCAGCTTCATCTCCCAGGCCATCACTGATCGATCTGGCTTGACCCAGAGAGATGAGGTCTAGGCCCAGACATGCGACGTCCTTCATTTTTCAGGACGGCGTCCCTGGAAGTCCCGACCCTTCCCCCAGGAGCGTTTTTTCGTCCTGAGTCGTTTTTTGAAGGTCCCGAGGCCCGGCGAGGACCCCCCCTGGCCGAAAATCTGACAAAAAACATCTCGTCATGATTTTTGTACGACGTGATCATGTCTGGGGATGTTTCGCGATGGTGCGTTTCTGCCGCAACGATGTGCGGCTTCTTGCATGTTCGGCCTAATTATGTGTGGGCCCTCGCTGGGCTCCAGGGAACTCCCAGCAACGAGATTTCGGATGAAGAAAGCGGTCCCAGGGAACGGGTCGAGCATTCATGACGTCGGGGGTCTTGGTAATTTGTATTCGACTACACGTAAGAGTGACCCTTCGCCAGAGTGATCCTCGGTGCGGGCCCATCGGGGTCCCCCGATCGCCGATGTGATAGTAGCGTCTTGCGCGCTCGGGTTTGGTCCCCCCGCGGCCCGCACAAAGCCGCGCACCAAAGGTCACTCTTACCCAGGGTCGCTCTTGCGCGTAGCCGAAGTATGCACGCCAGACAGGAATTGTCTCATCCCCCGACGGGCTCACCGAAGTTTTGGAGACCGTCCGAGGCCGACGGAGGCTGTGCCTCAAGATACCTAACAGCAGGAATACCTTATCGTATGTGCTTACGGTGCCCGATACCTCATCGAGTTTAGAGGATCTACGTTTTTTTAAGTTTCTGGATTCTGATGGAGGCCGTGTCCGGGCCACAGTGGCCGTCAGAAGTACAGACGGAACGGCAGAACGGCCAGGCTGGACCCTGAGAGGTCCAGGAACAGATGTTGAGCGGATTCTGATGCGCGCTTCTCTGTATGACTGTCAATGTGTGTGCGTGTGCGTGCGTGTGCGTGCGTGCGTGCGTGCGTGTGTGTGTGTGTGTGCGTGTGTGTGTGTGTGTGTGTGTGTGTGAGTGTGCGAGTGTGTGTGTGTGGATTTCTGGCTCTGCGGGCATTTAGCAGTTTATTCCTCTCCTTTTGCTCCATCCGCGAGCTCTGTACATGGTCAACGCATTCGTCCGGGCGTAGCGCAGCGTTGTTTGATGCGCTCGTCGTCGCCGGGTGCCTCTCGGAGAGAGTCCCCGTAGCCGCGGCCTGGTTCGCCCCGCAGTCTTCGCCAGATTGCACCCCATCGAACCCAGACCCAGACATCCGGCGTCTCGATGTTTTTTCGAGACTCGAGTCCACGACCTCTCGACTCTTGTTCCAGTTTCTCACCCCGTGCAGTTTTTGGACGGTCCCGAGGCCCGGCGAGGGCTCCGAGAGGTAGAGAGTGGCGAACGGGCCGCCCGTTGCGTCTTGTTCTCGACGCGAGGGGCTCTGGCCTGCAGGGAGCCAGCGCCGTGAATGCGAGACACGGCCGAAGCTTTCCCCGGGCCACAGTTCTGCTCCAATGCGTGTCTTGCAACACACAGCGCCACCTCGCCCGTGCTCTTTGATGTCCCCCCCCACACCTGCAAGATTGCACCTGCACGTCGCTGGCATTGCCCCGCCGTCAAGGCGTCGGCCAGCGCGCCCACCTCTCAGAACGCACCCCAAATGGGCGGTCCGAGCGTGAGTGGCATCGGCATTCCTGGGTAGCCCAACCCAGACATGATCGCGTCGTAAAAGAACACACGACGGAAGGTTTTTAGCAATTTTCGGCCTCGAGGGGGCCTTGGACACTCAAAAACGATTCAGGATGAAAATCGGCCCTGGGGAAAGGGTCGGGACTTCCAGGGACCGCGTATTGAACAAATAGAACGTCGCATGTCTGGGCCAGGACCAGGTAGGCGACCTCGAGGTGTCCGTCAACCTCACACCCGGCGGCCTCGGCGACTTTGTCAATGAGGACGGCCTCTTCGTGAAGCCGCTAGATCCGAGGCTGGAGTTGATACGCAGTTTTCCGCCGCCTTGTGAGCGGATGGTCCAGGACCCCAGGAGCAGTGGACCAGATATCTCTGGCGCCCCCCCTAGTCCTGCTCTTCCTCATCCTCCTCCTCCTCCGCCTCCTCCTCCGCCTCCTCCTCCGCCTCCTCCTCCTCCTCCACCTCCCTAGTCCAGATGCATCCACACCCGCTGCCCCTGGCCGTCCTTGGGAGATCGGCTCCAAGGGCGGCGGGCATGTGTGTAAATTTCAGCCTCGGAGCCGGAGGAGCGCATGGCGTTTCGCGATTTCTGGGCGCGTCTGCAGCACAGCTCAGCATCGTCCAATCGATCCCCATGCAGTCGAGCATCTGATTCAGAGACCTCGGAGACCTCCTCCCGAAAAGTTGGGCCAGCGTTTCTTAACCAACTCGCTGGGGAGCTGGCCCAGTTGTTTGAGCGCGTTCGCCCCTCCGGCATGGACACTCACGCTTGGCCCAGGCTTGTCTTGAGAAACTTCCAGAAAGCTGACCCAGGTTTCCTCACTGATGATTCTCTTGATGGTATTTGCTGCTGTAGTTCCCCACCAGCCCGCCCTCCTAGGTGGGATAGGCCCCGCGAAGCCCGCTGGAACACGCATCTGTCCCGTCCTGTGTCGGCCAGTGGGGCCAAGGCCGCGCCAGCTGGGGTATGGATCAGTCCCAGACCTCCAGCATCCTGATTTTTCGGGGTCCGCGGACCCTGAACCACTTCCCGAGCACCAGTTGTTCGTCCTGGGCCGTTTCTTGACGGTCCCGAAACCGAGTTAAGGCCATTTTACGTCGAACACTAAACATGATTCTTCGGAGGTCCGCACGGATTTTTTGTATTGGCGTTGGGCCCTCCCCGGCGGCGCCTCCGGCGCCGCGCCTGGCGTGCTCCGCGCGCCAGGGAGGCGGTCCCAGCGCCGATCCAAGAATTCCGCGCGGACCTCCGAGGAATCATGTTTAATGGAGGATGACGATTAATAAATGACCGGGGGTCGTGTTCACGCGGCGGCGCCCGGGATGACGATTAGAAAAAACCGGCCGCGGGTTGGAAAACTATTTTTTTAAGCGTTCTCCTCCAGTCAGAAAATTGTGCAGAAATAACAGAAAACTAAGTTGTCAATCGTCTCTCATTTTTTATGAATCGTAATCCCGCATTATGCAGTTGTCTGTGCCTCGAGGAAGCGACGAAGAACCCCCGCCTTGTTCCCAACCAACCCATGGGAAGTGGTGGGGAAGACAAGAACCATGAAAAGATTGGAAACTATGGGGAATCCTTTTATTTGTGTGTATTTATTTGTGTGTCCCTGGGCCCCTCCTCCCCTCCCTCTGCATCTGAGGAGATCCACCGAAAGCGGCGCACACAGCGACGGTGCTCACAATTGCAGTTAATGGTCCCAGACATGCGACGTCCTGTTTTTTTCAGGACGGCGTCCCTGGTGCCGTTGCTTCTCCCTGAGTTGTTTTTGGACGGCCCCGAGGCCCGGCGAGGGCCCCCAGGGGCTGAGAGTAGGAAAGACCTCGCGCCCCGCTTGTTCAACGACGCGATCATGTCTGGGGTTGGGTCTTTCGCCAGGGTGTGTGTGTGTGTGTGTGTGTTCTTCCAACGCGTGGGAGGTGCCTGTTAAAACAGGGCTAAGATCGGGATAAATCGGTCCAGAGCGTTCCGGAGCGCTCTCAGAGCGTTCCGGAACGCTCTGGAGCGGCCGCGGCGTCCAATACATCCTCCAAACCCGCTGATTCTCAGAGATTTCGAGTTATCCCGATCCGATTTTGTCCCGAACTTCGCGTCGAGGTGCCTGTGTGGGGGGGGCGGTTGCACGATGCTCCACGGCGGCGGCGGCCCCGGCAGAGCAGCGCAGGACGGCCCCGAGGTGCCTCCCGCGGGGGTCGACCCCGCGGGCCGGCCTCGTCTCGGCCTCGCTTTGCGGCAGGAGGCGGGCCGAGGACTCCACGAGGGAGAGCGAGAGCGAGCACGAGGATGGAAGGAGTTGCGCGGAGGAGGAGGAGGGGGAGGGGGGAGGCGGAGGCGGAGGCGGAGGAGGAGGAGGCGGAAGGGGGAGGAGGAGGCGGAGGCGGAGGAGGAGGAGGAAGGACGGAGGAGGAGGAGGAAGGACGGAGGAGGAGGCCTGGGGAGCGGTTGCACGATGCTCCACGGCGGCGGCCGCCCAGGCGGAGCGGCGCAGGACGGCCACGAGGGGTGTCGACTCGAGCAGTGCTCTGGCGATCTCGTGGGCCGTCTTCGTCCCGACTCCAGTTTGCAGCAAATTAGGCGGGTTGAAGACTACACGAGGGAGAACGAGAAGGAACACGAGGAGATGGGAAACGCAGTTTTGAGGTCGAGCCCCGTCCCCGAAGGAGACAATCGAAAGAGGAAGAACGCCACAAACATCAAACTTTTGGCGCTCCGCACGGATTTCTCGGATCCGCGCTGGGCCCCCCCCCGGCACCGGCGCGCTCCGCGCGCCTGGAGGGGGGCCCAACGCAGATCCCGAGAACTCCGCGCAGAGCGCCAAAAGTCTATGTCCATGGCGCTCTTCCTTCGTCTAGCAGAGGTGGACGGACGACGCCTCGAGGGAAAAAAGGCGGGAGCGAGCACGAGAGCGGAAGCCTGCGGCCTTTTAGGACGGGCCCTGCCCCCCGTGGATCTCGGAACAGGGCGGACTCCCCCCAGAGGTCTCGACCCCTGTCGGGGTCAAGGGGGCAATGGTAGGGGGGGGGGGGGGACCGGCTGCGTGGGGGACATGTCAGGCTCGCGGCTCGCGGGTTTCGGGCGTGTTTCCGTTGGTTCTCGGCGGTCGTCCAGTCTCGGGAGGCGTCCCGGCAGCTGCGCCTCGCCGGGAGCGGTCCTTTGGGGTGCCCGGGTCGTCCCGCACAGGGCCGCCCGAGGCTCGAGTTGTGGCCCGGGAGCCGCAGCCCGCGTCCGGGGCAGCTTTCGGGGGGAAGGGTCGGCTCCGTGGGGGCTGCGTCGGCCCCCGATCGCCCGTGGATCGCCGAGAAGGGGCCCGAGAGCCCACCATGCCCAGGAGCGTGCGGAGCTGCTGTCGGGGGCCCGTCGCCGATCTGTCGGCGAGGCATCGCCGACTCCGGCTCGATGCATGCTGGGCCCCCCGAGCTGGTCCCCACTTCTCGTTGCCCTGCACCGTTCCCCGGGACGGGCTCTTCCTCCAGAGTCGTCTCTTGACGGTCCTGGGGCTCGGCGAGGGCCCCCATGGGCCAACCATAGCAGAAGAACGTCCGTCGTTGCGAAGAGCATGTGGCATCGCGAAGCATCACGACCAGGGCCTTAGACCCCCTCGTTCTGCTGCACGTTTCGAGCCAGATCGATCTGCAGTGGTCCTGGGGGCAGGATTCCGGGCGAAGATCGCAAAGAACAGTGTCCGTCGTGTTGTTTCTCGACGTGAGCGGAGTTGGGCAGGAGTGAGGCTCAGGCCCGCCCCGAGGCTCTGGGCCTCCCAGATGGGGCCCGCGTAGATGGGGTCGGAGGATCCCGCCGCGTCGCCGATGCATCGGCGAGGCGGCGCGATGTGGAGCCCGGTCTTTTTCCACGCCGACGGCGCCGATGCCTCGCCGACGTCACCGATTCATCGGTGGTGCGGCGGCATCCTCCGACCCCCAGGGCTGGAGCCAAACGGTGGTCGACTCCGTGGGCCGCTTGCGTTCTCGTGTCGCGTCGCAGCAGAGGCAGAGAGAAGACAGAGCGAAAGGCAGCGAGCAATCTGACGGAGAACTGGAGATCCGGTTCGGCTACAGTCGGGGCGTTGACCTCAGGAGCCCTAAATAGGGAACGAGGCACCTTTTTTCCATGAGTTAAACTTCGATTCCCTATCGAAAGCATGAGGGAAACCTGAGGCAAGCTGTGAAACACTTAAGGAACGCGGAGCCCCTCTCCAACGAAAATGCTTCCTTCTTCAGGGCCCCGACTGTAGCAGCTCGAGCCCTGCCGATCCCACCCGCTCGGGCCCAATCTGTAAGAGGCCGCTAAAGAGGTTCGGTGGCAAATCAAAGGGAGCCTAGCATACCCTCTTGTGTTCGTAGCTGGCGTCGGCTAGCATCGACTAGCGTCTGGGAGTCGATGAGCTGGCAACGATTTCGCGTCGGCTAGAGTCGATTCGCGTCGGTTTGGTTTCGATGCTGTGTCGACTCAGCGTGGACGAGTGTCGATTCGCAAGAGCCGACAAGATGGTACAGTGGAGACCGATGCCAAGCAGCACCCTGCTTGCCTCCAGGGTGCCCTGGGATCGTTGGGTCTCGATGGTTTTGCTGTGGTCGCAGTGGACATCCTTGGGCCTCAGGGTTGGGCTTCTTATGGAAGGTCTCTTGTGGTCGAGCCCCTACCCCAGGCATGCGACGTCCTGATTTTTTGAGGACGGCGTCCCTGGAAGTCCCGACTCTTTCCCCGGCACTTCTTTTTTTCCTGAGTTGTTTTTCGACGGTCCCGAGGCCCCGCGAGGGCCCCCCCAGGGCCGAACATAGCCAAAACCCCCCCGTCCGGATTTTTGGCCGATCTTTTTACGACGCGATCATGTCTGGGCCTGGCTGGGAGGCCCCCATCAGCTGCCGCCGATCGGGCGAAGAGAACTATGCACATGCACCGATCCTGGCAAGGCCCGTCCTTGACCCAGGATCGGTGCATGTGCCTTCCTGGCCAGGGTAGGAGGGCGTATGCACCGATCCTGGGCTCAGGATGGGCCTGGCCAGAATCGGTGTATGTGCATAGTTCTTTTTCCTCTAGCCGAGCCGCCCGAGGTGCCTTACCTCTCGCGGCAGAACGACTCCCTCCGCGAGGAGCTGCCGCCGCTGCTGGGCGACGTGCCTCCCGCCGTGGCGCTCGGCGTCGAGGCCTTCGGCAACGAGCCGGAGGCCGTGAACCTGTGGGTCGCCGGGGCTCACGCCACGGGGGCCAGCGTTGGGGAGGCGCCTGTCGTTCGGCAGCACTGCACGGGAGCCTGGTATCGCAGATTCTCCTCGCGTTGTGGAAGAATCGCAGCAAAGGACTTTTTGTTCGCTGCTGCTTGCCTCCAGGAGCCCTTCCTGGGCCTCGGGGCCGTCAAAGAGCGACTCTGGATGGAAAACCGGTCCCGGGGAAGGGGTCCAGACCTCTGGGGGCCGACATTGCGAAAAAAACACGGCGTTGGAGCCCTATTTCGTGCGGTGGCAAATTATAGGGGAACGAAGAATGACATAGACATAAAAGCTCGGAGGTTCGCGCGGATTTCTCGGATCGGCTCTGGACCCTCCTCCCTGGCGCGCGGAGCGCGCAAGGGGCGGCGCCAGAGGCGCTGCCGGGGGGGTCCAGCGCGGATCCGAGACGTCCGCGTGGACCTCAGAGTTTTTATATTCAGGTCATTGTTCGTTCCCCGATTTCATGGGAAGCTGGTGTACCTTCGCATGTCCGTCTTTAGCATCGACTAGCGTTGATTAGCGTCTGGGAATCGATGAGATGGCGCCGACCCTGGCGTCGGTGAGCGTCGATAGCGTCGATTTGGCGTCGGTCAGCGTCGACTGGCGTCGATGAGCGTCGATTCGCAAGAGCCGACAAGATGGTACGGGAGGCTCTCATGCGTGGCCACCGAAGCATGTCGGGACGCTAGAATTGGGCACGGGAAGAAGGGGTACAAAGTCCAGCAGCAGTTTTTGCTCGTCCTGGGCAGGGTTCGTAGGCCGTGAACCTGTTGGTCGTGGGGGCTCACGCCACGGGGGTCAGCGCAGGGAGCAGCACGTCGGGGCGATCGACACGGGCACGGGAAGGAGGGGTAATTATGCAGCACCTCGCGGTTGCGGGTAGGAGTAAGGGGGCGGGCGCGGGGTGGGTCGCGGGTGGGTCGCGGGGGGGTCGTGGGGTGGGTCGCGGGTGGGTCGCAGGTGGGACGTCGATCACAGACAACAGACAACACACAAACAACAACCAATAAGCAGCATCAACACCAACAACAACAATAGCAACAACAACACCAGCACCAACAGCAACACCAATTCCAACAACAACAATAACCAACCAACCAACCAACCAACCAACCAACCAACCAACCAACCAACCAACCAACCAACCAACCAACCAACCACAACAACAACAACAACACCAACATCAGCATCAACATCAACAACACCACCAACAACAAGCAACAGCAACACCAACAACAGCAATCTCACCATGAACAACACCACCACTACCACCTAACAACAACAACGACAACAACAACAGCACCAACACCAACACCACCACCACCAACAACACCACTAACTACAACACCAACAGCAGCAACAATCCGCACCGTGGAAGCCCATTTCAGGCACGCACCCAGGGGCAGTGAATGACCGTTCGGCCCCCTCACCCTGACAAAGTCCAACACCAGTTCTTGTTCATTCTGAACGAGGTTCGTTGTCGGCGTCGCCGCGGTCGCTGTCCATTCGAGACAGAAGGCCGCCTGCCCAACAGTCTCGCTGTCGGTTTTGGACAGCACTTGTTGTTGGGCGTCGTGCCCACTTGCCCCGTACCCTTTTTTGATCGTCGAGAGTAGGGGTGTCTGAGGTGGCAGGACGGGCGGGCAGGCTCGAGGCTCTGGGTTCGGGCAGGCCGTCTGCTCTTGGTGTCCGGCCCCCGGGGGCCGTGCTGCGGGCCCCCCGGGACCGTGCAGCCTGGATCCAGGGTGAGCAAACTGCACTTGATGGACCCCGGGAGGGGTTCATTTTCTACCACCACTACCATGTGTATCTAGACCTCCCAAATGGAAGCCGCATCGCCGATGCATCGTCGATGCGGCTCGATGTGTAGCCCGATTTGCTTCACGTCGACGTCGCCGATGCATCGCCCACTTCGACGATGCATCGCCGGTGCATCGCCGATGCATCGCCGATGCATCGCCGATGCATCGCCGATGTATCGGCGATGCGGCGCGATCCTCCGACCCCATCTACTCCGACCCCATCTAGGAGGCCTCTAGTGTAGGAGAGGGAGGAGGAGGAAGAGGAGAAGGTTTAACGCCACAGGGTAACCTTAGGTTGGTCTAACGTAAAAGGAGAAGGAGGAGGAGGAGGAGGAGGAGGAGGAGGAGGAGGAAGAGGACCTCCTAATACTCTCTTCTCCCGTGAAAAGTTTGCCCATCAGCCTGAGGACCAGATTTGAGCGGCTTGGCCAAGCGTTGACAGCCTCCAGGCCTCCCAGATGGGGTCCGAGTAGATGGGGTCGGTGGATCGCGCCGCATCGCCGATGCATCGGCGATGCGGTTCCGTGCGCAGCCCGTGTTTCCCCACGCCGACGTCGCCGATGCATCGCCGATGCATCGGCGATGCATCGGCGATGCATTGGCGATGCGGAGCGATCCTCCGACCCCATCTACTCGGACCCCATCTAGGAGGCCTCTGAAGCCGCTGGCGACACAGAATCGGTCGACCTCAAACGATCTGACTTCGACCACGGCCGATCGTTCAAGGTTGCACGATCCCCGCGGTGTCAAGAACCAACGCCAGGGTCGACACGACACGAACCCGCGGTAACAAGGGTCAGCGCTGATGGGGGTCAGCCAGTCCCCTCTGGCTGGCCCGGCTTTGGGGGCCACGTGGGGCCGATTCCCCCTTCCCGCCCTCCGCTGACCCGGTGTTTCATTCACTACCCACCGAACCACCCCAACCCAAGCCGGAGGCTTCATTTTGCCCTCCATTTCCAGTGGGGCGGGGTCGGGGAACATATATAAAAATTGCACATGCCCCCCCCCCCCGCAAAAGACGGAATTCGGGTCTTCGGGCTGGGTTGGGGTGGTCTGGTAGGTATAGCCAGGTCTGGGAGCTACTGGGCGGCCTGCCGGGCTTCGCGACGGGGCCGTGGCCGACCCAGGTGCCCGCACCGCAGAACAGAACGGTCACCACCCGAGCCCTGGGCCCCACCTCCTTCTGCGTCGTGCTCCAAGCCAGAGCCACCTCCGAGGGTCCCGGGGCTCGAGATTGGGCTCGGGGGCGGACAGAACTCCCAACAGGAGTTGCCCGCTTTCGGTTCTCGAGAGGGCGCCGTGGCCGTCATTCTCCAGGCTTGCGCCCGCCAGGTTTGGGCCTCAGGTCGTTTTCCCTAAACCACGTTTTACTAAAGGGGGGTCCGTCCATCCCCGATGGGCGAGGGCGCCGGCTGCGAATGGCAGCGGCAGGCTCTCAGGGCCTGCGCCGGCCCGGGTCAGAGCGCCCTCTGCGAGGTCGGCGACAGCCGCGCCGTGTCCTCCTGCCACATGGACCACTACGAGAGCGGTGAGGGCCCTCGGGGCTGCGCACAGGCCCGGAGGTCTGGGTTGCTCCTCCCCTTCGAAGTGGAGATCGACTATAGAATTTTTGTCTGACCCCAGAGGGGACATGTGAGTCGAGCCTGCGGAGAGAAAGAGCTTTACATATATGTATATATACTGCTCGTAGATGTGCGACCATTTTTTTTTTCAAGTGGTTCGACTGAGATTTCCATTCTGGGGTAGCTCGTAGTTGCAGTCGATCCCCTGCTCGACCCCTGAGATCCCGGCGCCGCATATGTTGTCCACGCCGGGCGTTCTTCGCCGGGTCTCGGGCCCCAGCTGCCGGCACCGATGCAGCGGGCTCGGGCCGTGCGGCAGAAAGACACGGGGTCTCCAGTCGTGTTGGGCACCCAGACACGATCGCGTCGTGGAAAGATCAGGACGGGAGGTTTTTGGTGATTTGCGGCCGCCAAGGGGGCCTTCGCCGGGCCTCGGGACCGGCAAAGGACGACTCAGGACGCAAAGCCGGTCCCGGGGACAGGGTCGGCACTTCCAGGGGCGCCGTCCTGAAAAAATCAGGACGTCGCATGTCTGGGTAGCAAATCATGGAAGCCTAGTGCACCCTCTGAATTCCGTTTTTAGCGTCGATTTGCGTTTGGGAGTCGACGAGATAGCGCCGTTTTAGCGTCGGCTAGTATCGAATAGCGTCGATTTCGCGTCGGTTAGCGTCGAGTAGCGTCTGCTAGCGTCGATTAGCGTCGATTTAGCGTCAGTTAGCGTCGATTCAGCGTCGACTAGCGTCGATTCCATGAGTTTCCACCGAAGGTTGTGTCCTTGCAGTGTCGGATCTCCGGGTAATTCGTCTTGGCCGGTAGCAAGAAGCCCCCCCGAGGACTCCGGGGCTGTCTCAGCGCCTCGGCGCCGTCTCCGGCGGCGCCCCTTTTGTGCGCTCCGCGCCCTGCAGGGTTCGGGTGTCGAGGCCGCCCCGGACCACCCCGGGGGCCTGTTGAGGCCAGCGGGGACTACCTGAGGGGGCTGCCTGTGCGCAGCCCGAAGCCTCACCATAATTACCCAGACATCAGGCGATTCGATTTCTCGAGACGTCCCCCCGACCCCCGACCTCTCGACCGCTTCCCCTGGATTGGTTTTTCAGTCCCGAGTCGTTCTTGGACGGTCCCGAGGCCCGGTGAGGGCCCCGAGAGGCTGCCACCGATGAACAGACTCCGTCTCGCTTTTCTCGAGACGCCAGATGTCTCGGTACGAGAACCTGTACGTCGTGGTTCGAGGCGAGAAGGTCTTCACGCTGCTGCCGCCCACGGCGGCCCCGTTCCTGTGCGAGCGGCGCTGCCAGCCCGCCCACTTCGAGAGGCGGCGCGGCAGCGACGGAGGCGGCGGGTGCACCCTCGAGGCAGTGGCCGATGCACCACCCGCGCCGCCCGTGCCCTGGGTGCCGGTGGACGTGGCATCACCTTGGAGCCGGCCGGGGGGGCTCGACTAGACGTAAGAGTGACTTTTCGCCGGAGTGACCTTTGGTGCGGGCACAATGGGGTTCCCCGATCGCCGAGCGCGAGGCGATAGTGGCGCCTTGCGCGCCTGTGTTTGGTCGCCCCGCGGCCCCCCAAAAGCCGCGCACCAAAGGTCACTCTTATCCAGGGTCACTCCTGCGTGTAGCCGAGGGGCTGATGTCCGAGACCCCCCGGGGTCACGATGCAGTCGGCCCGGCTCAGCAGGTCGGCCCTGCCAGATCAAGGGTATACCCTCGTGTCCTGGGTCTCTCGGCCCATGCCTTCCACATTCCCACGGCAACGTGGCCCTCGGGAGGGCCTCGTGCCCTCTCGCGTGTCCTGTCCAACCAAGGCTGGCTGTTTCACGATTCCGCGGAGCAGGAGCTCTTTTCTGAGCACGTGCTCAGCCTCTGGGGCCCTCGCCGGGCCCTGGGAGCGTCATTGCGCAATGGGCTCGGGAGGAAGAGCCGGTCCCGGGGAGCGGGTCGAGATCAGGAGGGAAGAGGACACACAGACACGAGGAATCGTCGAGTCCCCAGAAAATGTGGGAAAAAATATGGGAAGTGTGGGGGGGAAGACGAAAGCCCAGAACATATGGGGAAAGTGTGGGGAAGCCGATGATTTGTGTCTATCTGTTTGTGTGTCCCAGGGGCCCCTCCACGAGGCCTCTGCGGATCGACGCCACGAGCAACACCACAGCGTCGGGGTGGCCCAGCACGGGTTCTTGGCCAGCAGGGGGGGGGGGGTAAGGGGGCCCCCCTCGTCGATGCGGCTCGGAAAGCTTGCCATGTTCAACCTCGGGAAGGGGTCTGGGGACCGATCCTGAGCGGGTTTGCCCTTGTCCTCCCCTCTTGACTTGCGTCATGTTCTCTGGGCTCACACCCCCTGGTCGCCTCGAAGGGGCATCACCAGATATTCAAGCCTTTCCAGAGTTTGCCAACGCTGCGGCAGTCCAAGTCAGGGTCCGCCCCGGCGAAATGTTATATCTGCCAGCGATGTGGTACCATCAAGTGGCACAGCAGGGAGTCACAGTTGCCGTCAACTACTGGCACGACATGCAGTTCGGGCAAGCCTACATATCCCATCAGTTTCTGCGCGATGTGACCGGGCTTAACGATCATGAAGAGGACGAGGAGGAAGGCGACCCCACATGAAAGAGTCACCGTCTACCATCGCTCTCTCCGAAGGCCATACTTCGTGCAACAATGCGCTACGGAAGATCGTAGGATGTTGGTACGCACTGCGCCGTATTATGTACATTTCTGCTACGGTATCTGTTACCGTTGCAACCTTGTACGATTACGTAGTACCGCGCACTGCAGGTTCATGCGATGATTGATGACCACTTCAGTGCTGTGACGCGCAAACGTTATGATATGTGTCACGTGCTTCGGCGTGCTGGAGCTACTACCGCACTTACTGCCACCTCATAGTAGCTATGTGTGGCTACGTGCTCATGCGCACTGCAATATGCTGCAGCACGCGATGTAGTAATACTACATACGGCGACATATCACTGCGTATCTCCCGCTGCACTCCGTACTACTATGCTTCAGTGACGTGCAGCAGCGTCTTGCAAGTGCTATTCGCTACCGTTGCCGAGACTGATACGGGTGTCGTTGCTGCCTCTGTGCCTGCTGCTTTTATCGTCGCATTGCCAATCCTGCTGCTACTTCTGTCACTGGGGCTGCTGTTGTTCATCCTGCTGTCGCCATCATAATCCTCCTGGTCTCGGTCTTGCTCTCTCCCTCCCTCGCCCCTTCCCCCCTCCCCTCTTCCTTCCTCTTCTCCTCCCCTGCCATTCTCCCCTCCTCTCCACGGCAAGAGGGTTCAAAAGCCCTCG